CCCGGCGCCCCCGCTCAGTGCAGGGCGCGTGGCTTTCGCCGCTCCGATGTCCGCATTCCAGCTAATGTTGCGCAGATAAAATTCAAACTTGAGGTAAACAGAGGAGGAGGAGGAGGGAGGAGGAGGAGGAGGAGGGGCGGGCGGGAGCAAGGAGGATGTTTCCATCCTCAGATCCCACCTCCTGCCCGGCTCGCGGTGCGAACCTCTCCTGGCTCGGCGGCGACGCGCCTCCCCGCGCCCACCCGCCCTCCCGGTCCAGCCATCCCGCGGCTCCTGCGCTGGGGGGTGGGAGGTGGGTGCCGCGCCGCCGCGCACGCCCTGGCCGGGGTGCCGGGTCCCCGTCGGCCGCCCCGCGGGCGACAGGCGGGGGGGCTGCCCTCGGACCCCTCCCCGAGCCCCTTGGATCGCCCGGAAGGGCAGCGATGGCTATTTAAGGTGCGACCCCGTGCGCCTTTCCACGGGGGAGGAAGCCCTGCCATTCCCTGCGCTCCCCCAGGGAAGGAGAGAGGCACTTGTGGGATTTTTCCTGCTCCGGGTACAAAAATAACTTGGCCGGCCGCACGGTGCACTTGGCCTGCGTTTGTGTTTTTGTGTGTGGGTGCGTCATGTGCTGTTGTGCCTCCGGCAACCAAACATCTCCGGCTGGCCCTGGCCGCAGCAACCTGGCATCTGACGAAGTTGTTTTCTACCCTCTGGAAAGCGCAGTGGCTCCTTTCAGTTCGCCATTGTGCATCTCCCCAAGGAAGGGGCTGCTAGCAATGTTAACCCCATTTTGGTTGGCACCCCGCCCCCCCGCCCAGTCATCCCCATATTTTCGTCATCCCTAGAAGCATCGTAGTAGAGTCGTCGAGTATCCGCAGCCCTCGCCCTACATTATCTTGCTCACAGTGCCAAAACAACCCTGTAAGGTAGGCCAGCACCATTATCTCCAAGATGCCGGTACCGAGTGGGACGTGATGTGAGGACTGCTGAGGGCCACTCAGGGGTCCCTGGTGAAAGAGGCGGCCACAGCTCTGGCTCTCGCTGGCTCGTACGGAGAGCCTCCCCCATCTTGCCGGGTTCTTCCGAACCCAAGAAAACATTGCGTCCTGTGAAATGTTCTAGAAAGAGCATTTGCTTGTTCCCAGAATATTCCCCGTCTCCATTTTCGCCCCCAGAAAAGTCAGGTTTTAAGGCTTCCGAATGAAGCAAGTGGACGTCTCAGAGCAGAGCAGTGTCCTTGTGGGGCGGGGGGAGTGGCTGCTGGGGATGAGGACCGTGGCGCATGAGTCAGTGGAGGGGTGCTGCTTGTTTTGTTGACTCACAGGGCAGGAGAGAACAAGGCGCCCGCAACTTTCACGATGGTGAAGATGAGAGCTGGGTATCAACAGCTGTTCGTCCGCTCTGCCCTGCCCGACAAGCCACATTTGCTGAAATTACGCAGCTGTGTGGTGCATAGGCGCACTGGCCTCCCGAGCTCCAAGTCACCCTAAGGCTTTTGTATTCCCACATGTGAAGCACTGTACCAGCAGGGTGGAGGTTTGGGTGAGTGACAGCGGGATGTGCCAGTGGTTGTGGCTTGGCAGTGTTGATCTTGCAGGGGGTAAAAGTTAAAAGACAGCAGGGATGTGGCGGGTGCACATGGAGTGCCTGGCTCTTTGCGGGGCGGCGGTGGTGGTGGTGGGGGGGGAGTCACTGTGGTGGTTGTGGGCTGTCTCCTGCTGGGAGAAGAGTCAGATGTTGTACCCACTAGCATGCCTGCGGCTCTGGATGTGGGTTCGGGGGAGACTTTCCCCTGCCTGGATTTCAGAAGGACTCTTATGTGTTTTGTTCAAACTTCAGAGGCAATGAAATAGTTAAAGACAGATGGAAAATGTTTCAGGAAGTGTTTGTGTGGAATAACACCATAGGTGTTAAAGCAAAGCAGGTTGTTTGTGTATGTGGTTCTTGGTCATCCCCCCCCCCCCCCCCCCCGCCACCACTTTGTCTTCCTTAGCAATTGCATTGTACATTTTAATTTAAAGTGCTGCCTGTACACATATTTCACTAATTAACTGATGCAGGTTTCCCCTGGGAGGCTTCTGGGGTGGCAGGGAACTCTTGCCTCCAGTGACAGGAAGGGTTGGGTAGGTTTCAGAAGGAAGCAAAAAGGAATACAGAGCTTTGGTGTTTACACGTAATCAGAGTGAGAGAAGGAAAACAGGTCAAAATGTTTAACTTCGCAACCCTAGGGTGCAATCCTGTGCATCTTGAGACAGAAAAGAGGCCTAATAACTCCTAGCTGTTCCCAGCACTGGCTGAAAAATGCTGGGAGTTGCTAGGCCTCTTTTCTGTCTCAAGGTGCATAGGTTTGGGCCCTTATAGACGCATGCATACACACACACACAAAAGCTTTCTAGTAATCTCTTTCTTTTCCTCTCATAATCAATATTTTGACAAGCTGACTTCTGGAACTCATTGTGGATACCTGCATGTTAATTAAAACTGTAGGAAATAAAATTGGGGACATTCTCTGCAGATTATGAGGAAGTAATCATTGTTTCCATCCATTGTTACCATTGTGCCCATACTCCAACAAAATAGAAGCAATCTTTACTGGCTTCTCCAAGCTCAGACAACTTATTTTATGTCTTAAAACTATTTCTGTGTTGATATTTGTTGTACTGGATCCTACCAGGTTCACCATCTTAAAAGGGAGCTAGGGTGAATTTAGGATTTCCTACATTACGCAGTTAGAAAAAGATACAGCAGGACGTAAGGATACGATTGTGCTGTCTGACTGGGGTGCGTATGATGAGAAGCAGAAATGTACATTGATACATTTGAAATCACAAAATTACCTCCAAGCTAGTCAAGAAAGAATTACATATTCTGGCACATGGACTAAGCATTTTTGACTTGTTTTTTGTTTGCTCGCTTGCTTTGTTTTTAGGACAAGCTTCAATGAGATGGGTGTGGTTATTAGCTTCCAAAAGATAGATATCACTCCCCCCCCCCACGCACACACATAGCAATTCTTCAGCTTTTCAAGCAGATTAAGAATGATGAGGTCTATATTCAGGGCCATATTATGGTAAGAATACTGGTGACATTAATGCTGTTTTAAAATAGCTTCAGTAAATGGTTAACTCCGGTAGAGACGGAGCATTGTATTGGGAGTGAAAGGGTCTGGAGGAGATTGGGGGCATTTGTTTCTCGATTGCAGGATTAGGCTGACTTGAGAAGGGACTTCAGGCTGCATTTTTCCTACCTCTGCCTGTGAAGGGGTTGGCAGGAGCTGCTGGAAATCCCTCGTATGGTGCACATTTCACAGTGAGGAGGGCATTCTGTACAAGAGCTGCACTGAGGAGCGTGAGTTTTCACGCCACGGCTGACCCACGGGTAGGGTAGTTTGTGGCAAAGCACAGAAAGCAGAGTACTGTGCACAACAGAGTCTGCGAGAACCTGGCCCACTGTGGGCAGTGAGCCGACATACACAGATTTTCTAACAGTTGCTATATGTCCAGTGGCTGTACGAAATCAACCAAATGAGGGGCAAAGAGCTGGCTCGTTCTATGTATTTGCAGTGGGAGGGAGGGTGGTTTATTGATTCTTGGGGCATTTCCATAGAGGAAGACATATATGCTTAGGCAGGGAAAAAGGGGCTACTCATCTGCATTACTGTATATAGAAGCAGGGCGTGACTGTGCTGCATTAATTGTTGTCAAATAAAAGACCATGAACTTGTTTGCAGAATACTGTATTTATGTGTGATGGCATCGGGTTGGGAATACGGGTCTCTAGTGGGCAAGGATTTTCTTTGGGAGTACAGGGTTTTAACGGCAAAGGAGGATCATTAGGATAATGACAGACTCTAAATTGGGAATCACTGGATTGTAATTGAGGTTGAATTCTGAGGGTTCCTGCTTTTATTTGAAGACGTTATGTTTGTAGCCGATGGCCTGAAATGGAGGGTGCAAAGGCAGGTGGGAAATACAGCAGAGAGGATTAGGCTATTTGTGCGCATGTGTGAATTTCCACAGTGCCAACGTGCACAAACTCTCATCGTACATGAGCATTAAGACATAATGTGTAGAGGGAGCTGCGCTTCTAGCATGGTGTTGCGCAGGCACAGCGTCCGCTGTGAACAGGAATGCATTCACATTGTGCTGCCATGTGAAGATCTGTTGCTTGATAAAAGGGTGCATGGAGGTGGCGGACGCCATTTTAACAATACTATACGCATCTGTTGGGCTCTCTGAAATGTGACGAATACTAGCTAGCTAGGCCAGGACTAGGGCATTGTCTGCTTATGAGCGTGTTCCAAGACGGCTTTTGGTCAGCACAGCCTCTTTGGTGCTGCTGCCATCACAAGCAAGTCGGCCTGCAACGGGCAGTTGCTGGGCAGGGAAAAGATGCCGTCATGGCTTCTCTTCCCTGGTGATCTTGTGAACCCAGCCTTTGTATCAAGTTTAGGCATTTGTTTTGTGGAATAACAAGGTGGTGTTGAAATCTATCTATACAAGGGGGATAATGTTGCAGCCACATCATACTTCCCGGGTTGAAGGAGGCAGCAGTGTTTTGCGGAACGCAGGGGTAAGTTCTTGTGTGATAAAATATTGCGGTGATGGCTCAGGAGGTATTTGGAGGTCTGCGAGGGCACAACAGGGCAAGACGCGCCTGCATTAAAGCTCTGTTGTGCGCAGAATGCATACATGTACACCCATGTGTGTGCCACGTCACACATTATTTGGTGTGTGCGTGGTGGTGTTTTATTGCATTTATGCCCCACCTTTCTTCTTCTTGCAAGGAACCGAAAGTGGATTACAAGAGTCTCCTGCTCTCCATTTATTCATCACAACAACAACCCTGCAAGGTAGGTTACATTGAGAGCTAGTGACTGGCCAAAAGTCGCTCAGTGAATTTCACAGCCGTGGGGAACATTACTTGGATCTCCTCAAGACACAGAGTTTGAGGCTCTATCCAATAGGTCGTGCACTTAATGTGCAACAAACACACATGCATCACCCTTAGAAACTTACCACTGCTTTGCATGGAACTGCACTGGGTCATCCCGAGCCATTCATCCGATGGTGGGGAAGCAACAGGCTTGGCTTGGCTTTTCGAGGTGACTGGCCATTCACAGGCCGCGAATTGTCCATGTTGCCGAGAGAACTGTATGGAAAGCTCCTGTGCGCCTGAGGAAACCATGGCGCTGCCTGTGTGGCTGAGGAAACCCTGTGAAAGGAGGTTATGGGTGCTGAGCAAACCTGACTCGTTATATGTGGCTGGGGGAACGCGAGATGGGGGCCAGGGAAGCGGCTCCGCACGTGTGGCTGAGGGCACTGTGTGAAGGCAGGTTCCTCTGTGGCTGAGAAACCGAATTTCTGGGTGCGCGGCCGAGGGAGGGAGGCAGGCATGTGACGAGCGGTTCGCACGTGGCTGAGCGGAGCGTGAGCGCTGGCATGCGGCTGACAGGCGCGGGTCTCTCCGCGGGCCGACGAGCCCGGCAGAAGTTCCGGGGCGCCTTCCGCGGGCCGGAGGGGCCGCGTCGGGAGAGACCCGCGTCCCCCGCTCTGCGGCGGCGGCGGCGCCCCGGGAGCGGCGGCGTGCGCGTGACGGGAAGACGCGTGTCGCGCTTCCGTGCGCGTTTCTCGGGAGCCTCGGGAGTTTGTTTGACAGTCGGGCTTCCCCCTCCCCCGTCCGCGTGACGTGGCAGGCCCCGCCCCCGAGCGCGCTCAGCCAACGCGGGCGCCGCTTGCTCCCACCGCCAAGCGGCGGCTTCCGCCTCATCTCGCCGACCCGGCCGGCGCCACCTCACTCCGATCGCGGCGAGGCCAGAGGCGAGCCCGCCCCGCCAATCGCTGAAGACCTTACACCCCCCCCCCCGCCAATCCCCGCCTCTCCTCCCTCCCCCATGCGCGCGGGCCAATCCCCGCCGCCTCTGGCCACGCCCGCCCTCCTTTCTTCGGCCCCCCTCCCGCGCAGCCACCAGGGCGCGCGTGTTCTTATTGGCGTCTCCTGCTCAGCGCTCCCTTCCCCCCTCCCAGTGTTTGTTATGGTCCGGCCTCGTGCCGCCGGCTCATCATGTCACGCGGCACTGCCTCGCGCCTCCCTGTCCCCGCCTTTTCTCGCTCGCGCCCTCCCCGCTCATGTTCCGCCTGCTCCTGATTGGCCGGAGGGAGTGACACGTGTGCGCGGCGGGGGGGCAGGTGACGTGTGGGTCGCTTTTACCTCAGACCTCTTGATCCTTGAGCGTTTTTATCCAGGCGGTTGTCAATGGGAATGGCAGCGCCTTCTCTGGAGAGTGTGTTGAAGTAGATAAACGCCTAAAATACGCCTTTTGCCAAAATCACTTCACAAGTGGATTGATTTGCAGCCCAGCCAGGACTCGTGCTTATAAACTAGTCTGCCTAATTATTCGTTGTCAGGGCTCATTAAAAATAAAAACCTCTTACATAACAGGCAGAAATACAACAGGCAGAGCATCTGCAGTCAGAGAGTAGCTACTCCGGTTAAACGTCTCTCTGCCTACTGTCCAGCCTTTTAATGCAGCCCCATCCAAAAAAACACTTAATACAGATTAGGTCATCCCGTGCCCACACACGAGGAAAATTTGCTCTTATGTAAGAACAATGGACAATACGCCACAATGGGAGTAAAACCAAAGAATTCTTGACTTCTTACAGGAACTTGTACTGCTGTGTGCTAAAAATTCTTACTGCAAGAACAACTTGTGACATGAATAGATGACACGCGATTTTCTAAAGTAGCAATTTTGTGTGGTTTCTAATGGAGACCAGAGCACTCCAGTCCCTGTAGTAGAATTAGAGTATTATTATTCTTGTTACTTTTATATCTCAGTGTTCCTCTGACGAACCCAAAGTAGGGGCGCATGGTCATAATCTTTTCCTCACAACAGCCCTGTGAGGTAGACAAGGCTGAGAAACAGTGACTCCTCACAGCCAAGCAGGGATGAAAACCCCGATTTCCAGCACTCTAACCACTAGACCATGCCGGCTCTTTGCTTTTGCTTTGGTCCACTTTATCCTCACAATAGCCCTGTGAGTTAGTTTGGACTGAAAGTCAGTGACTAGTTCAAAGTCTCCCAGTGAACTTCATGGCTGACTGCAGATTAGAACCTGGATCTTCTGAGTCCCAGGCCAGCACACTAACCACTACACAACACTGCCTTTCATAAGGTGCAATCCTATGCAAATTTAGACTGGAAGGGGCTTATTATTACCTTTATATCTCACTTTTTTTTCCTCGTGCAGGAAACCTAAGAGAGCTTACTAAGTCCTCCACTTCATTTTTTTCTGGACAGCAGCCCTGACAGTCCCAAAGCCAGCCTGTGAGCACCAGGAAACTGGATCTCCCCAGTCCTAATCCAGCCCTCTAGCCTCTAACACCACCCTGGCACCCAGTTACTAGGATCTCTGGGCATGTAGGGAAGGGGGCTGAAGTGGCTTTAGCTATGGAGTTGTACCTGTGAGCGCTGAGATGTCCCCAAGCCCTTGGCCGGGGTGCTGCTGCACATGTCTCAGCCATTATGCAATGGCACAATAATGTGGATTGAGTTAGAAGGTTTACGCACAGCGCAGAGAGATCGTGTAGCATCTTCGATGTAGCGAGAGGCCTGCAGGATTAAATAAAAGGCCTGCCTGGTCCAGCATCCCTTTTCTCCCACGGCCGTAACCACATGTCCCTCTCTGGGAAGCTCAGGGGAAGGGCATGACTAACAGAGCACTTGGCTGAGGTAGCATTGGAGAATTGCAGGTGGCTTGGCATTACTCTCGTTACTACATCTCTATCCCATCTTTCTTTCATGAGCCCCAAACAAATGTACAGGATCATCTTCTCCATGCTATCCTCTGAACAACCCTGTGAGGTAGGCTAGGTGAAGTCAGGGACTGGCCTAGAGTCAGCTCCTTGTGCTGCAGAGCGGAGTGGGCACGGGAACAGGGTCTTCCGAGCCCTAGTCCCCTCTGGCTCTCTAGGCCACTAATCCAAAGCATCAAAGCATGGCTGCCTCCACTGGATGAGCTCCGCTGAGAAGGACCCTTCTCCTCCCAGCGAATTGACTCCATTTTCAACATGCTCTTACCACCAAGACCTTTCCCATACTGACTATTACTTCTCTCGTACCAGCCAGGGTTGCCAGTGTTTGATCAGCCAATGTTCCTTTGCATTCCACAACAGCAAAAGCTTGGGCAAGTGTGAAAAGCTTCATTTACAAGTTTCTGTTGATCATGCTACTGTTAAAAGCACAGAAACTTTATTTTTGGATTCCCAGTTGGCAATCCTACATAGATTCCTTCTAGAGGCAGCTGGAGCATGCTGTTTCTTCACTCCCAAAACTGCCGAATTAATTCCGTTGGCCTGTAACCTTAGTGCTATACATGGCTAGGTGATAGAACCCAGCCAGGTTCCTTGCAGAAACCTCAATAAATGCTGCAGAGGTGGGATGTAAAAATGATACCGTTCTGCTGCTGAGATGGTCCTGACTATTTTCATTAAATACTGTTCCTCCTCCACCAATACCCATTTGCTTTTTTAGGGTATAAAAATAGCTAACCGCAGGATGATGACTCATGAGCTGGGAAAACACACACCTGCTTGGTGCACATTTGAGCCGAGTAAAACTGTATGGCAGGTAGGCAGGCTGGCTGTGGCAAAGAAGGAGGAGGGCTTCTGCACCTTTTAATAATTGCGTAGAAGAGGAAATGTTGGTCTTTACAGCTTGTCATGCAAGGGTCAGGAGTGTTTTAAATGCCTGAATACTATTTTTCTACATAGCCGTTACAGCTACAGGGGCCTCTAAGTATCTCGCCACTTCAGTGTGGTTGCAATCTGGCCACTGGCATATTTTATTTATTTTTATTTTGTTTTTGGATTTATGTCCTGCCTTTTTCCGACAAAGGGCTCAAGGCAGCTGACATCATTCTCCTCCTCCATCTTATCTCCACAACAACAACCCCGTGAGGTAGTTGGGCTGAGAGTCTGTGACTGGCCCAAAGTCCCCCAGTTGGCTCCATGGCTGAGCGGGGACTGGAACCCGGATCTCCTGAGTTTGTTTGTTTATTTATATTGCGATTTATATCCTGCCTTTTTCCTACAAAGGGCTCAAGGCAGCTGACATCATTCTCCTCCTCCGTCTTATCCCCACAACAACAACCCTGTGAGGTAGGGTGGGCTGAGAGTCTGTGACTGGCCCAAAGTCCCCCAATGAGCTCCATGGCTGAGTGGGGACTCGAACCCAGGTCGTCTGGGTCCCTGTCTAAATCTCCTGGTACCACATGACAAAAACAGCTGTAGTTTAACTCTTCCTTTCCTTGTCATTCCCCCACCCCTACTGTATGACACCCCCTGAAATTCTGCATGCCACAGAAGAGAAGGAAGGAGGCAGGCCACTGGGACAGGCAGTGGAAAGTCGAGTGCGTGGCTGCTAGTGACTTTATTTTGCTGCTGTTTTATAATCTCTATTCCACCTTCTTAGAAATCTTCTTACAAGGCATATAACCATATAAAAGCGATCATTACAAGGAAACAGCAGTCACATATGAACAATAAAACGCTGAAGTTAAAAAAGTTAAAAGACAAGTACCAACAGATCTGTCTTACACATAGCTACTTCTAACTTCCCTTGAGTTCAATGTTACTGTGTATAAGATTGCAGCTTTGCAGAAATAAAGTTAGTCATAACAGGCTTTTGGGTGTAATCCTATCTTAAGTTTAGACAGAAAAAAAGTCCTGACTAATTTTTGCATAGGAAGATACCTTTCCTGAGAAAAACATGATCAAAGTGCAAAGAGAAGAAACTTGCCAGATTTCCCCAGAGAGGAAATTCTACAGACCTGGTGCACTGCAGGAATGTCACCGTCTTTCTGTATCTGCCCTCCGGATTGCGAGATGCGTTTAACCTAATGGTGGAGGCAAACAACGCCTACTGGGTTCTAGAAAGCAGTTTCGTGCAGCAAAATTCTTGACTAAGTGGTGCTGCCTTTTCTTTCTTTTCTCCCTGCCTTACTTGGAGGCAGCTGGCACACTATTCGCAGCTATTTGTGATCTGCCTAGTTGATTAAAGACACTGAGCACAACAGGAAATGCTCTTTTTTCTAAAATTATTTCTGCTGGCATAAAAATAATGACCTTTTTGATACCTTTTTTAATATTTTACTCAATTGATGTCTCTTCCCAATCTAACATAGGAAAAATATTCCTTCTCTTTTTAAAAAACAAAAAACTTGGGTTGCCATTCCAAATAAAAAGATAGGACTTCCTGTTATGTTGTCTTGAAGCACAGTGTGTACCGTACTGTTTTATGGAGCAGTTATAGTCATGAATATACTGGGTATTAAAATGCCTTCTCTTTGTGGAAGTATGTAAATAATATCTATTAATCTCCTTACGCAAGAGATTCCTGTGGCTTCGTTTTGAAAGCTAATGACTTGCCAAGTTTTCAGATGTTTAAAAAACAAAGCCTTTCTTTTTTAAAAATGGTAAAATTCAAATGGAATTTGAAAAGAAAGATTAATGCACTATTAATCCAAAAATAAAAACTAATAAGAATTTTCTTGCATTTTAGTATTTTGTACAGATTTTTAACCCACCCCAAATGGCAAGTGGCCACGTCTATACAACACAGAAGGTAAATAAAAGGGCCATAAATATAGAAATTAAAATACTAAATTAAATGTTTGATCTCAGACACAATCCTGTGGCCTTTCAACACGGCTTGAGGGCCGGGCAAAATTATTCAGAGGGCCGGCTGTTAGGTCCTTCGATCTCAGAGCTGGTCTTCTGAAGGCTGCGCTCCCAC